TCTATACCTAATACCCATTAGTGAAAATGAGATGTTACCAGTTGGGCACTGCTATTTCAAGTTTTGTTCTTGGAAATACTGACTCAGAATTTGAGGATAAAAATGAAGTTTTTCTGTTGCCTAAAGGGATCCCCTGAGCCAGTGGTTTTAGCTTGGGGTCTATGACTGAACCTCAGGGAGTGTAAGCACCCTGAAATTATTCAGAAGGCTGGGGCATCCTGCCGTGCAGGTTTATTGGGAGAGGTCACAGTTTTTGAGACATTCTTAGAGGGTCTTTGCACCCACAGAGACCTAACAGTCAGTGAAGGCTGATGCTCAGTGGGCAAGAGGTCATTGAGGTCATTTCTGCTCCTTGAGGAGCCTGGCCTCGGTCAGCCTGCGGGCTATTGGCGTGGTCAGCGGCCCTCTTGAAAGAGTTGTAAGAGAAGCCGTCATGAAGGTCAGTCCCTATCTGATGTGAGGCTGCCTCTAGTCCCTGACATTTTGTTTCTTTCCAGGCTGTTCTTTCTTCAATAACTGTATTGGAAACAAGGTTTAGGGCTTACTGACCATCCTGGCGAACATCCTCCCTGCCTGGCCCAGACCCCTCCCCTGTGTTTCTTGGAGATGGGAGGGAAGCTCTGCGACCTGCTTCTTTTTCTGGGTTTAGGAATGCTGCCTCCTGGCCGTGAGTTGAAAACTTTGTGGGAGGTTTAGAATCAGAAACTATAAGTCCTGTAATTTGCTGGGCCATGCTCTGTATAGGGAGGTTGGGGGTGCAGTAAGAACCTTTCTGGAATCCTGACAGCCCAGTATTTAGGTGGAGAAGTGTTTAGGTCAGGAGCCCTGCTTGACATTTTTAAATCAAAGGCCTCAATACACATAATTGTGTTTTTTTTAAATAATATCTATCTATATCTATATCTATATATCTATATCTATCTCTATATCTATATATATAGAGATAGATAGATAGATATAAACACTTTTTAAAAATATATTTATTGATTTCAGAGAGTAAGGGAGAGGAAGAGATAGAAGCGTCAGTGATGAAAGAGAATCATTGATTGGCTGCCTCTTGCACACCCCCTACTGGGGATCAACCCCAAAACCCAGGCATGTGCCCTTAGCTGGAATCGAACCTGGGATCCTTCAGTCCGTAGGCCGATGCTGTATCCACTGAGCCAAACTGGCTAGGGCTATAATATATTTTTATTAATTTTAGGGAGGAAGTGAGAGGGAGAGGGAGATAGAAACAGCAATGATGAAAGAGAATCATTGATTGGCTGCTTTCTACAAGTCCCACATTGGGGATTGAGGCTGAAACTTGGTCATGTACCCTGACTGGGAATCGAACCCATGACGTGCTGGTTCATTGGTCGACACTCAACCACTGAGCCACACTGGCTGGGCTCCACATAGCTTTGAAGGTTTCTTCTCACACTTTCTGGAAAACCCTGAGCTGTGCTCGGTGTGTTGCCATGGGTTTGCCCATGGAGTTGGAGCTCAACATTGGAGGCTGGGAAGGAGTCTGTCCCTAAATATGTGGAGATCTGAACAATGACTTTAAGGAAGAGCAGAGACTGACCAGGCAGATGAGGGGCGGGAAGACAACATGATGGGCAGGCACTTGGTGAGTTCTGGTATATTTGTGTGTGGAGCTGGATTGAGGTAGGAAAGAATAGCTGGAGAGGCAAAGACAGGTGTGGCTGGCCACCTGTGTTGCTTGGGGGTTTAGCCTTTAATTCAAAGGCTAGGATGGTGCTATAGGGGAGGGACGTGGCCAGCTTTGTTGTTTAGAGCTCAGGATACAAAGGAGCAGAAAGAAAGGCACTGACCTTGCCCAGCTGGGTGTGGTTCAGTGGTTGAGCTTAGACCCAGGAATCGAGAGGTCACTGGTTCAATTCCTAGTCAGTGGATATGCCAAGCTTGGTGTGCAAGGGGCGGCTGATCAATGATTCTCTCTCATCATTAATGTTTCTATCTCTCTCTCCCTCCCTTTCTCTCTGAAATCAATAAAAATATGTATTTTTTATAAAAGCATTAGCCTTGACCAGAGAACCCAGTGTCAACACAGTTGTACTGGATGAACTTGGAACAGGACTCCACACATCCATGAACCTGTTTTCCGACCTGTTAGCCAGTTGACAGTGAACTCTGACCACATGGCTATTGTGGCCATTACATGGAAATAAATAAGTCATGGTTGACCATGACGTTGGTATTGGCATCAGGAGCCCTGCTTGTCATTTTTAAAAAACATATTTTTATTGATTTCAGAGAGGAAGAGAGATATATATAGAAACATCAATGATGAGAGAGAATCATTGATCAGCTGCCTCCTGCACATACCCCCACCTCCACCCACCCACCGGGGACTGAGCCTGCAACCTGGGCATGCGCCCTTGACTGGAATCGAACCCAGGACCCTTCAGTCTGCAGGCTGACACTCTATCCACTGATCCAAACCAGCTAGGGCCCTGCTTGCCATTTTTAAAGCAAAGGCCTCAATCCACATAGTTTTGAAGGTTTCTTCTAACATTTTCTGGAAAATCCTGAGCTGTCTTGTTCTTCAGGAAGAAGAGTTCCCTCTTTCTTGCCTTGCCCCACCAGACCAAATGACTCTTCTGTCCCTTTACTCCACCCTCTTCACGCCACCACTACTTCTGCCAAGTAGTTTTTGTATAGCAAATTGTCACATCACTAAGAACAATATTGAGAAGGGAAAAAAACACTGACACACTTCCTCTGCCTCACTGACCCACAATGTCAGCACTTTTTTTGTCTTTGGATCATCTTCTAACCTTCGTCTCACCTTCCATCTCTGCCTTCCTAGTTTCCTGCCCTTTATCTCTTTTCCTTTCCCCAGACATTTGCTTCTGCTGTTTATTCTGATTAGCATATTCTTTCTCCGAGACCTTCCCTTAGGGCTGACCAGCCTTGCTAAGGGCAGGAGAGATGGCCCTCATTCATTCATTCCTTCAGCTATCCCGCTGCCCCAGAGCTCTCAAGGGCTGGGCAAGTCATCTTGCCTTGCCTCAAGTAATCCCCAGTTTGTGTGTAAGTACCCCTTGGAAACGTGACCAAGACAACACAGCTGGGACTAGCTCTTGGTCCTACGCTTTTCCTACTTGTTGATTTGTTTTTTGGCAGAGTGTGAACTGAGACATACCTTGTGTTCCTGTGTAACAGGCGTGGCCCGGTACAAGTTCTCTCCCCTGCTTATTTTAGACTTTCCTGGACATTTCTTAGTCATCCTACCACTGAGCTGCTATTTTTAGTGCCACCGCCTCCTAGGGGACCTAAAATAAAGCTGGCTCAGCCTCCTGGCTCCTCATTGGCTGGAGTGTTGGTCACAGGCTAGAAGATTGGCTGGATTGAGGATAAACTACTGTCCCTCTACACTGTCCCTCCTCACTGGCTCCTTTGGCCTTAGGTGAGGTCACAGGGACTGGAGTGAATTTGCACTTAACCACACTGAGCTGAAGGCTTGACCAGGTTCCTTTAATGAGGCTTCACAACCACTGGGTTCCACCTTCATTTTATTGGAGGAGGAGGAGGAGGAGGAGGAAGAGGCTAAGGCCCTGAGAAAGGTAGAGACTTGCATCACCTCCTACCACTATTAATGGTTGTCTGCCAGGGTTGAACCCAACTTCTCACTTCTTTGGTGTAGAGTCGTGTTATCAGGAGAGAGGGGCTGGCTCCTCTAAAATCAGACCACTATGGAACAACACATGGGTCTTCTGTCATGGGGTCCTGCAGTGAGATGTGGACCTCCTTATCCAGGAGGGGCCTAACAAAGCCAGAGTGATTCTCTCATCTAACACCCTGGAGGCGTGGTGTCTATAGCTGGGAGGGTGCTTCCTCTTCCCCTCAAAAATTAGAGAGGGACAGCCCCTTCCTAATGGAGGGAGCGTTGAGGGATGGGAGATTTGAAGAGATGAAATGTTTCCCCCACATAGCTTCCATTTCCCCTCCCCACATCCCTCATCTATTACTTTGGGCTCCCCTGAACTCGTCCCTATCTCTGAAGTAGGTAGGGGTCACCCCCATTAATGAAGCAATGCCCTGGAAAGGGCCAGGCATTACCTGGCCTCAAAGATGTAAATTGCCCCTTTAAGACTAAGGCGAGTCTTTTGCTGTTTTTGTAGCAAGTGGGGCCTTGAAGAGCCATCTTCCTTCCATCTCACTGGGTCTTCCTCCACCTGCCAGTAAAGCACTGGGGCACTGTTCAGGCCCTGAGGGCTGAGTCTCAGCAGGACAAGGAGGGAACCTGAGGGCTGTACTAGAAAACACTTTTCACACAGGCAACTGTAGTTGCTGGCCTGCAAAGTGGGAAGAAGAGCACTAACTTTTGCCTTGCAGGTTGGCGAGAGGATTAAATGAAAAGCTATGGGCCGAAACCGGTTTGGCTCAGTGGATAGAGCGTCGGCCTGCGGACTGAAGGGTCCCAGGTTCGATTCCGGTCAAGGGCATGTATCTGGGTTGCGGGCACATCCCCAGTGGGAGATGTGCAGGAGGCAGCTGATCGATGTTTCTCTCTCATCGATGTTTCTAACTATCTCTCTCCCTTTCTCTCTGTAAAAAATCAATAAAATATATTTAAAAAACAAAAAACAAAAAAAACAAAAAGAAAAGCTATGGGGAGACTGCTTAGCTCCTCCCTAAAGATCCATCCCCTTATTGGGCATTGAAGTACCTGTTCCTTTGTCCTGGCTGCACCCTCAGTTCCCATCCTGGGTGCTCCACGACCCTGGCACCTCTCTGTCTCATCAACCAGAGCTCCACAAAGGAGAGGCTGAGTCTGGTTCACCTCTGGGCTCCCACACTGGTCTGTACTGGGAGAGGTCTCCTACCTGTTCCCTGGGACCTCTCCATGTTCCCTGTGTGAACAAACCTCAGCAAAGGATGTCCTGCTCGAGGAGGCCGGGGAGGGTTGGGGGTCAGTGAAGAGACAGCAGCTGGCTACATCCTGGTCCGGCGGTACCAACGCTTTCCTCCCTGTCTTGCTGGTCTTGCAGGTTTCAACGAGGCTGGGTGACGCTCCAGAATGGGAGACAAGCCAATTTGGGAGCAGATTGGATCCAGCTTCATTCAGCATTACTACCAGTTATTTGATAACGACAGAACCCAACTAGGCGCAATTTACGTAAGTCACAGCTCTAGAAACGTGACCCCAGGGGATTAGTTCAGGTGTGTGTGGCCACTTTGTCCAGGTCACAAGTTCTGGAAGCCTTCATTGGATTTGGCTGCACCCTTCTGAGCTCCCCATGGGACATGGGCCTGAAATCTGGTCCAGCTACCTGGTTTACACATTCCCTTCTGTCATGTTCCAAAAAGTAAGGGTTCTGGTACCCTGGACAGGGTGTTCTAGGCTGGCCATCCATGGTTCTGCAAGTGCCAGTGTTCTAGAGCAGGTGGCAACAGACAGAGGCTAGGGCTCACGGTGCCTTCTGGAAGCAGCAGCCACGAGCGTCATCAGTGCAAAGCTGTGTTCTGGAGGCCCCAGGTCTGGCTTCCTTTTGGAGACCAAAAGTGCCTGAATGCTCATAGGAAACAAATGGGTTAACCCAGAGAGACTAGTATGTCCTTTGAGAAACCCTTCTGCGCAGCAATTGTTGGCTGCTATTTTAATGGAGATCACATATACCAAGAGCTACTTGTATTTGACCTTCCCAAGACTTGGTCAAAGAAATATGATTGATCAGGCCTTGCCTAGCAGGTCTGCCCAGGATAAGAGTGATAGGAGTCATCCAGCATAGCCTCAGAGCCTGACTGGACTGTGGCAGACTCCTGTCTTTCCCTCAAGAGTCAAGGTTCATTCAGAAATTTTGGAGAAAAGAAAGGGCTCTTACCAGTGGAGGGCCAAATCCAGCACAAATATTATTTGATTGTCATCATCATAGATCAAGAATTTAAATAGTGCCGAAACCGGTTTGGCTCAGTGGATAGAGCGTCGGCTTGCGGACTGAAGGGTCCCAGGTTCGATTCCGGTCAAGGGCATGTGCCTGGGTTGCGGGCACATCCCCGGTGGGAGATATGCAGGAGGCAGCTGATCGATGTCTCTCATCGATGTTTCTGGCTCTCTGTCTCTCTCCCTTCCTCTCTGTAAAAAATCAATAAAATATATTTTAAAAAAAAGAATTTAAATAAAAAGCTTGAACTAGTTTGACTTTGGGATCTTTGCCTTGTTGCTTCTTTATTTATTTAAATAATCTTTATTTATTGATTTTCGAGAGAGCAGGAGGAAGGGAGAGAGAAAAATATTGATTTGTTGTTCCACTTATTTATGTACTCAATGATTGATTCCTTTTTTTACTTTTTTTTATTGTTGTTCATTGGTTTATTCTTGTATTTACTTTGACCAAAGATCAAATTCCCAACCTTGGTGTATTGGGATGACCTCTAACCAACTGAGCTACCATGTCAGGGTGCCTTGTTACTTCTTTTTTTTTTTTTAATATATTTTATTGATTTTCCACAGAGAGGAAGGGAGAGGGATAGAGAGTTAGAAACATCGATGAGAGAGAAACATCGATCAGCTGCCTCCTGCACACCCCCCACTGGGAATATGCCCTTGACCGGAATCGAACCTGGGACCTTTCAGTCCGCAGGCCGACGCTCTATCCACTGAGCCAAACTTGTCAGGGCCTCGTTACTTCTTAGCTTCAGTTGGAGGATGCCTGACTCAGAAAAGAGTTAGCAAAGTCCTAAAAGTATACTTCATGTATATCATTTTATATAATCCTCAGCATATGGTCCCCTCTGAATATCAGAAAACTGAGACTTGGAAAAATAAGTAACTTGCGTAATGTCACAGCTGGTAAATAGCAAAGGCATTTTGAGTTCTGCCCCAGAAGGCAGTGGCAGGGAAGATCTGGAAGGGAGGGGCAAACCTAGTGGGTTGCCTTGGGAGGCCTTGTCAGTGTCCATCTCTCCTTGACCATGTGGGAGCTCCCATGGAAAGGGCCTCAGTGGAACTCAGCCTAAGCTCTATAGATGGTGATAACATAAAATGTTTTCAAATTATTTTTTTATGATTTCTCTGGAACTAGTGCTGATTGACCACACAGTAGGATGGCTTTTGGCTGAGCCTTGGCCATATATGGCTAACCTGGGGTTCATGTATATAAGAGGTCAAATGACTTGAATAAAAACTTCAAAATGGACTAGTTTAATAAGTTTATATATATTTTTTTAAAATATATTTTATTAATTTTTCACAAAGAGGAAGGGAGAAAGATAGTTAGAAACATCAATGAGAGAAACATCGATCAGCCGCCTCCTGCACATCTCCCACTGGAGACGTGCCCGCAACCCAGGCACATGCCCTTGACTGGAATCGAACCTGGGACCCTTCAGTCCGCAGGCCGACGCTCTATCCACTGAGCCAAACCGGTTTCGGCAGTTTATATTTTGTTAGTTTTTAGAGCCTGAGCTCTGGGACGATGGGGTATAATTAAAGTTAGTAGTAGTGTAAAGTTTAGAAGCTATCCTCAGTTTCCTTCGTTACAGGCAGGGAAACAGGCGTGAACTCATTCCCCCCCAAAAGATTTACTTTTAGGGTCTTTTCAGGACCTCAGGGATACTTTTGGTGCTCTGAGACCCTGACTTCAGGTTTTCTGGTTTTCAGATTGACGCATCATGCCTTACGTGGGAAGGACAGCAATTCCAGGGGAAAGCTGCCATTGTGGAGAAGTTGTCTGTAAGTAAGAGCCAGGGTGGGGCTGGCTGCAGGCATCTCCTTCCCTGCTGGCCCCAGCTCACTACCCACCCTTTCTCTTGCAGAGCCTTCCGTTCCAGAAAACCTAGCACAGCATCACGGCACAGGACCACCAGCCCACGCCAGATAGCTGCATCCTCAGCATGGTTGTGGGCCAGCTTAAGGTAATAGTGCTGCTAGGGAGAAGTGGGCAGGCAGAGGAGATTCCCACGCTCCTGCCTTCCCTGTGATGTGATCTGCCTATCAAGGGACACCCAGACAGAGTGACTGTCTAGAGTTGTGCTATTCAATATAACAGCAACCAGCCACGTGTGGTAATTTTTTTTTAATTTAAAGACTTGATTTTTAGAAAGAGAGACGGGGGGAAGAGAGAGAGAGATTTATGTGAGAGCAAAATTTTGACCTCCCCACGCCCAGTAGGGGGTATTGAACCCACAACCAAAGCACATGCCCTGACAGGAAATTGAACCATCAACCTTTCGGTACAAGAAGGTTGCCCAACCAACTGAGCTACGCCAGCCAGGGCCACATGTGGTCATTTTAAAATTACATTAATTAATTAATGAATTAATTATATTAAATAAGATGTAGTACCTCAGTTACACTAGCCATATTTCAAGTACTCAGTCACTATGGCTGCCTCTTGGACAACACAGACATAGAACATTTCTGTTATTGCAGAAAGTTCTCGTGGACAGCACTGATTTAGAGCCTTTTTGGAAAAGGGACAAGAGGTATAGGAGCAGGATGAGGCTGTGGTGCCAATCCACTGGGCCTTCATATTACCCCAAGGTGTAGGTGGGCCTTCTGTAGGCAGTAGATCTTGGACCAGCAAGCTGGGTGCCAAGTAGCAGTCCCTTATTGGAGTCCATGCTGCCACTCCCAGAGCTGGCTGCTGACTCCTCTACCTGCTGAGCAAAGCAGGCTTTGGGAACTTCTGCATCTCTACATTTTCCCCTTCTCCTTAAGACTGTCATCCTCAAAATCTTCCTGTGGCCCCTCAGCACCTCCAACCCAAGAACTCTCCCGGAATCTCCTACCTCTTGTGCTTTAGAAAACTGAAGCCAGATTCTTGGTTTCTAAAAAGCCTCTCTTCCTTCCCAAAGCGGAACAACCTTGACAAGGTCCCAGTGCCCTAGGACTATGTCATGATGCGGCTCAGAATAACAGTCCCTCTCCCTAAGCTAGCCAGAGTGTCTATACAAGGGTTGAGGGAGGGGTTCCCAAGGCTCTGTGGTGGACTCACCTGACTTCTGGTCGGGACTTCCCCATCAGTTTTTCCTGCCTGTCCAAGATGCCCTGCCCACACTCTATGCTCAAATAGGTCCTTGGGCCCAGCTGGTGTGGCTCAGTTAGTTGAGCGACATCCTGTGCACCAAGAGGTCATGGGGTTTGATTCCAGGTCAGGGTACATACCCAGGTTGCAGGCTTGATCCCCAGTAGGGGGCGTGCAGGAGGCAGTTGATCTCTCTTACTGATGTTTTTCTCTCTCCCTGTGCCTTCCGTCTCTCTCTCAAAAAATAAAAGTTGCCCTAACCAGTTTGGCTCAGTGGATAGAGCGTAAGCTTGCAGACTGAAGGGTCCCAGGTTCTGTTTTGGTCTTGAGCATGTACCCAGTAGGGGATGTATCCCTCTCCCTTTCTGTAAAAAAAAAATCAATAAAAAATATTTTTAAAATATATAAAAGTCACTAAAAATATATTTATAAAAAACAGACCCTTAGGACAGCGGTTCTCAACCTGTGGGTCGTGACCCCCTTGGAGGTCGAACGACCTTTTCACAGGGGTCGCCTAAGACCATCGGAAAACACATATATAATTACATATTGTTTTTGTGATTAATCACTATGCTTTAATTATGTTCAATTTGTAACAATGAAATTGGGGGTCACCACAACATGAGGAACTGTATTAAAGGGTCGCAGCATTAGGAAGGTTGAGAACCACTGCCTTAGGAGGTCCAGGGGGCCCAGTGTCCACTTTCCCAGGCTGGGCTCCGTAAGCAGTGCCCTTTTCTACATGGTTTCAGGTTCTTCTGTTTCTGTCCATCTCTCAGCCATCAAAAGACTGATTTGCTTCCTTGCAGATAATTCCCAGAAAAACCAGTGATGTTAGAGACAGCACTGATTAGTAATTAGCTGAGCTCCTACCTCATCCTGGTCTGCAGTTTAGCTGGAGGTCTCTTTTCTGTTTTCAACAGATCACTGATGGCGGTGCTTTGTGTTTTTCCCCTAAAGAGCTGTGATCATAGCAGTGTGAACTCAGTTTTGAACCTTTTCTCATGTATTTGGACACAGTCATCATTAGCAGTTGCTTCTCCTGATTGGATTAACTGATGCAATCCGTTAATGAAGGGGTAGTATGAAGGCCCAGTGGTTTGGCACCACAGCCTCATCCTGCTCCTATCCCTCTTGCCCCTATACCTCTTGGCACTAAGAGGGTTTAGTTTATAGATAATATAAATTTAGGAGGCGAGCGCTGTATAACTCTTTTAGATTGGTCACTTGTGCCCAGAGTCATGGGCTTAGAGGCAAGTGTGTTCTCTGTTCTTTTGCTGTAGCTAATTGGGGAATTGTTCTGCAGTTTAAGTGCAAATAGCAGTGTGAGCTGCCATATATAAGCCTTTATGTGCTCAGTGCAGTATTTCATACATTGAAGCAATTCGCATTTGCGAGTATTCCTTGTCTCTACATGGCCCCCTTGCTGAATTATTTTTCTCTCCTTACAGGCCGATGAAGACCCCATCATGGGGTTGTAGTGTGCATGATGTTTGGACTCTAGACTAGTTACATCTGACAGGAGAAGTTTGTGTTGTACCAGCGCATGCCTTGGAAAGACTTAAGTAATGCAAAAGGTTGTCTTTTTTTTTCTTTTTTTTTTTTTTAATCTACTGACAAGTTGCTCTAGTAACCCAAAGAAGTGAAGGAGAAAGCAGCTGCCTCACCGTCCAGATATTGATTTGTTCAGATGTTTCAATGCCTCATGATACAATAAAACCACAAAAATTTTCTTAACAGTTCAAATTGTTTTAATTAGTTTAATAGTTGGCTGGGCATCTATAACTACCCTGCCCCATTGGCTGTCTCATGTGTCACTCTCACGTCTCTACCCCAACTTAGCAATACCTACTGCAAGGAGAAAACTGCCGAAGCAGCATCCCCAGCTAGTTTCTGTCAGAAGCCCAGGGCATAGTGTTGCCCTTCCCAACAACCCACCTGGTCTTGGGACAGTGAGCTGCAGACAGGGAGAGCTCACGCCTGGCCTGAAGTTTCCCTTGCACTGAAGCCTCTGCAGTCAGTTCTGATACCTCCTGTGACCTCTACACTGGTTAGGGTCAGGGCTCTAGTAACAGGACAGGTGACTCAGAATCCCACAACATGGAGACGCCTTGGCAAAAATGGCCCATCAGGTTCAGACCCTCTGAGCAAAAGTTTGAGGGAGAGGGGCCTATTTTATCCCCAGAAGGGTTAGGATCACAGGGTGTCCCCAAGCCAAGAACAGGGCAGTTCAAATCCTATACTACCTGCTTCGAGCAATGTGGTACAGTTCAGATCGTGTACCACATTGCTCAAAGGCAAGTGCCTATAGATACAGGCCTGGTTGGTTGGAGTATAGACTTAGAGCTATGAAAGAAGGCAATCTGAGTGAGGGATTTGTGCTCCAGGATTTCTCACCTTTCAGACCTTTCTGCAAGGCATCTTTAAGCCTATTCCCTTCCTCACACACAGCTTCTCACTGTCTTCAAATCCCTTACCTATTGGGGCAGTTTATGCTCCTCAGTTTTGGAGACAAAGGCGCCTTGCCCATGGCAAATCTAGCCCTGAGACCTGGTGGCAAGGTAGCAATCACAGGCTAGAACCAAACCCAGGACTTGGGCTGGTGCCCTGTTAGAGGTTTTAGGATTGGTGAGGGCACCACAGCTATGCCTGACATGTACCCCCCACCCCCACCCCCACCTTTCCCTTTACTGAATGGAGGCCAAGGACTTTCTCAGATGCCCAGATGTTGCCTAGCTATACTGGGCACAAGCTGGATGGTGTGCTGTTTGAGAGGAGAGTATCAGGAGATTTCAGTGGAACTCGTATCTAGGCTATGTATTTGAGGGGTGGGAGAGAGGTAGGTGCTTGCCTCTTAAACCACCTTGTATAAAATCTGCAATACAGCTTCTTCCATGTACCTGTGCCTGAAATGTCTGCAATAAAGAGGTCTTTGTAAACTGGTTTCTTTCTTCCTGCCTGAGGGTACTAGGTTGGGCAATGGGGTGCTGGAGGGCTATTAGGGAACAATGTGATGTTTTTGTGGGGCTATCATGATCTTGTAATTCCTTGGCCTTTTGACATCCTGGGTCCCCTCATTTCCTAAAGAGGAAAGCGAGGCACCCGCTAATTCAGCTTCTTGTTGGAGAGGTCTGACCACAGCCTGAGTGGTGGAGTTGACCCGGTCCTAGGCCCATCATGAGTCCATGCCTTGGGAGTGGGCATGGACCCGGCGGGATATCCTGAGGCTAGTAGGTCTTTCTTCTGCCTCAACCCTGCGAGACTTTCAGGCCCCCGCTGGCACTTCGGGGGGGTGCGGGGGGAATAGCGGAGGGAGACGGCTTCTGAAGGAGTGAGGCGTCCGCTCTCAGCCCGGAACCTTTCTTCTCTAGTCCGTGCAGATTCCGGGAGGCCGAGGTTCGGCAGGCCGGAAGTGGAGGCGGTTGGTGGGATTGCAGGGGTTCAGGGGCTTGGTGCGGGCCGCGGTTTGTGCGGGTGGACCCATTGTAGTGACCGGCGTGCCGCATCTGGTCCCTGCGCGACTGTGTTCGGCTGGTGCGTGGCGGCAGCGAAACGAACGCGCCGCGTACAGGGCGCTTGTGGCTGGGCCTATGGCCTCCTGCGCGAGCATCGACATAGAGGACGCCACGCAGCACCTACGGGACATTCTCAAGCTGGACCG